TTTTTTGCAAACACACATTTGCAAAAGAGAAACTTTTAAATAAGATTAATTATTAATTCATTTGAGAAGGGTTCGCACCTTATTTAGACACATCCACTGTCAATATAGAGAATGAATCTTTCTAACATAAATCACACTTCAATCATTCTGCTATGGGTCACTCTTTGGAACAGAAATTGTTTCACCTGGTCGATGATTAATTTTACTTTGCTGTTAATTCTCAGTGTTAAGCTGCTGTTAATGAAACTCAACAATTCCTGCAGATGTTTCACCCCATAAGTCTTTCATTGAACAGAAGGGATTATATCCCTGAGCCGCTGAAGGGATAGAAATAAGTAACAGATGGAGGAAATGTTGAGTTTGCATTAATTGCAAATAGCAGCACCAGCAAATTAACAGCTACCTTTAATAAAAATCTGATATAAAGCTGCCAAAATGAACATTTGAAATGGTGGCAAATAGCATCAGTAGTGGAATTCAAAAGTTCAGTATTAAATTGTGATGGGCAGCAATTTATTCATAGTCATGCTAAATGCTATGCAGCAGCAAACTTAAATACTATACTTTAAGAGTCGGGTAATTGTAAGTCAAATGACTCTGCACTGCTAGAGTGAAAAACTCTGCGATTAAATTTCTACGATGATTCCTTTGGGGTTAAACGTCCTTGTTTCCGAGGTTTGGAGTGCCTCATATTAACACAGCCTTGTTAAAGTTTTGTCCTCCCAAGGTCACAGCTGCCGTTTCCTTCCTGATATGATACACATCCCCCTGCTCGCCGGGCACAGAGAGAATGACACAATGATGATTATGAGAGTTGAGATCCAAGGCGAACACTTTGATGTTGAAGGATGGATCCCACACTCCAGCCAGGAGCAGGAGGGAAATCAAACAGTCTAACAACCCAGCAGCACATTTGTCTGCCTCCATTCTCCAATCCAGCAGGAATTTCAACTATGTCTGCTGTAACTAGCCCCAGAGAAAGCTAACAAAGGCTTCAACGTGCTGCTCAAAAGAAAACAGGAGAGAGAAATGAGAGTGAGAGGAGTGCTGAGGTGTGGACAGAAAAGGAAGTGGAGAGATGAAGATGCCAGCTGGAGGAAAGACGGGAGAAACAGACTAAGAGCATGTGGTGCAGGATCTGTAGGTGTTGGTAAATGATGAAGAGAGACAGCAGAAGAAAAAGAACATAAGATTTGACCCTATTGAAATATTTACCCCTCTGAGACCTATTGGTATTGCATGACTTGTAGTATTTTTTCTTAGCTGTTCTAGTTTGCTTTAAAAAAAAAAAACTAGAGAAGAGCAGAGGTGCAATAATACCTGGGTGTGATTCCTGAGTAAAAATTGTAAAGACAAATATGACAAAAAAACAAAAGACATGTATCAACATGCAACAGAGCTTTGTTTCAAGTAAAGTATTAAATTGGTGCACATATGACTTCACACAGTAAAACCCAGCCAATGCTGGAATTTACATCCATTTAAATTGTAATTTTAAGTTGATTATCTACGGCAGACCTCAATGGCTGTTACAACAGTACAAACAAAGTGTACTGAAATACACTGAGAAAAAAATATGCAGATGAAAATTCTGACAGCTGGTAGTTACGCTCAATTTTCTCACATTCTCTTTCCCATATGTGCACCCATTCAGACAGACTTACAGACATGCACTGATCTGTCTGAATAATAAACAGAAGTACTGACCACAGAACATGTGGAACCGCATTCTTTCCATTTCTCACATATGCGTTACTACTTTACACTTGTAGCTACTTCAGTAAAATTAGCAGCCAGTTTTTTGAACATCTTTTCTAGTTTAAAGTTGTTAGCATTGCAAAGTTAGCATTGCAAAGCTCACAGCTTTGCAATGCTAGAAAAGCACTTTGACATCCAACATGACAAATGTTGTGCACCCGATTTCCATCAACTGTCTGTCTCACTCAAATAAATCAGGTAACTGCAGCCTGTAAAAGGACGGACTGACCGGTTGACCGAACAGGCCAAGGAGCCAGCACGAGTCTACAGACTTTGCAAAAAAGCCAAGAATTCAAATGGACAGTTGTCACTCTGACAAAAATTTAATTGGCGCTTTCTTGCTGGGCGGGAAAACTAATTGGTTCGACAGCACTACGGAGGCGATGTAATTGGCTAGGTAATGTCAGTCACACGAGGGCAGGGGGAAGGGACACGGTGCCATCTGGGTGTCTGTCAGCAAACCGTTAGATAATCCTGGGGTCTCTCAGCTCTTTCTGTGCTCTCCCATGCTGTCCTCATGACAACTGCTGCCAGCCGGTCTGCCATGTCTCCTGCTTTGTGCTAGATAGAGACATGCGCACAGCAATACTAAAGCTTGCTCTACAACAGCTGATGTTGCCAATAAAATACCACAAAGGTGTGTAATTAGGCATGCATGTGAAGTGATCACACAATATTTATTAATGTTTTATTTTAACATAAAAGTATGCCGACTTCCATCCACTCATTTATGTAAGTTTTGTAGTTCTATCATTGACTCTTCTAAATGCAGTGCTAACTGTGCTGAACGCTAGTGGGTGTTTTTTTGTTGTTGGTTTTTAATGTAAACAGCAGCTGGAGGGTAACACCAGTAGAGTACAGCTTTTTAGTGCAGCTGGATCAATTTCAAGCAAGGCAATAACACTCACTACAATATGTTTCAAGCTGTCACAACAGAGGAGAAAAGGAAAAAACTAAATGTGTGAGTAAGAGTGTTCTAGTGGGAGCCCTGTTAATTATCACCTACAGGTATTCGGAGAAGTTTCTAAGCTACTTTTAATGAGAGATGGAGCCGAAGGAAGTATAACCACACACCACGCATTGCTTTCAACCACATTTATGATCTTAATACTGAATAAGCTCATGTTACATTTACAAAAGGATGACAATGAAAAAAATGATATAGCTATTATTCAAAGGGCTCTGCAGCAGCTGCAAAGTTTACAACCATGAGGTGTAATATACAGTTGAGTTTATGATATTTCAGTTAGCTGAAGTTAATCCTGCAGTGCCTGTAAAGCAGGAGAGGCAGACAAAGAGCAGTCTCACCAACACTAAATCTGACCAATACTGTAGCCCTTTGAGTGGGAGGGTGGCTGAACAAGATGACTACCAACAGCTGCCTCAGTCCAAAACCCAAATACACAGGAAAAAAAAAAGAAAAAACAAAAAAAAACACAGATACACAAACTCCCACACAGAGACAGAAGCCCTGCAGAAAAGCATGCAGACACACACAAACATAAACACACTGTGCGGGCTGTGACTGAATATTCCCAGTATCCTGTCAGGCGATCACTAAGGCAGTCACGGTTCATTTTAGCATAGAGCTCTCAACCATCCACAGGAAATTTCCTTCTGGCTCTTTCCATTTTACTGCACACTGAAAACCTACCAATTACATGGCCACACACCTTTGTGTTAATATGTAGAACTGAGGAATTGCCATTGTGGCTCAGCAAACCAGGGATGTGAATTTGTCTTGTGTGTTAAACGCTTGCTCTATTTTTGCAAATCTTTCCTGTCATGTCAAAGTTGTTGTTTTTTTCATCTCTGGCTTTTTGGCAAATCATTTTCTGCCTTCCTTGGTCCTCTGACCCTTCCCTTCCCCCCATATCCTTCCTGTTTCTTTTTCCACCATAGTGTGTCCCATAGGGGGGAAAATGCACTAAAAATATAGCAGACTTGTTTGATGAAGCTATGTGTGGAAGAGGAAAGACGGCCTTGCCATTTGGAGAATACATCAGCATGTAGAAAAAGCCTGGAGGAGGAAAACAAGCATGGGAAAAAGAGCTGGAAGAGATAGTTGAAACCTCAAGATAGGCAGCTTAGAGTGATGGGCGAACAGCAAGAGGTCGAGGACATTATAAGAAGGCAGGACAGGAGGAAGAGGAAACCATCCAAAGAGAGGAAACCGTGTGGGGGTTAATCAGCTCCTCATGCAATGCAGCCACACATTTATCCTTCTGAAACACTACACACTTGTTACTAGCATAAATCTGTACACAAAACAATGGAAAGACAGATTAGAATATCCATACATTTCCCTGAGCTACTGATGTGGCAAGAAGTTGTCACATGAAAGTGCAACACATAATCTCTTGAGAGGTGAAAATCAATTCCAGTGGGAGCAGGCTGGGTTGAATGGTGCTTAGACAGGCAGGCGGGGGGATAAATGCTGACAGTGTGGAGTGTAGCATTAGCGGAAAATATGAAAAATTGTCCTGCTAGCAGGAAGTACCAGCCAGGAGCCAGACAAAGGAATGAAAAGCGGTGTTCTGCCATGTTTTATATATTTATGACTGGAAAGAGACAAACTGAACATGAAATTCCTTTGCCTTATCAAACATCCAACCTCTCTCACTATCAACAGAACTCCCAATACATAAGCAGTCTTTCCCTTTCAGCTGAATGTAAACCAAATGTTGGCCTGCTGCATTGCAGTGCAGTCAACATCCAGATTCTGTGCTGCTACCAGGGATTCCTCTTAGGGCTACTATTTCTAGTTTAATTTACAGCACAGCAGGAAACGTGAAGCTGCAGCTTCCAGGGGCGGGGTGTCTTCCAGTCGGCTGCAGATGACAGTGTAGGATGACTTAAAAGAAAACACGCACGCATCTTTGCAGCAAACATGCCTGCAGACAATCTGCGGAGCTCTAAAGAACCCCTGACAATAACTGTCTGCAAAGATTTCTGACAGTGCGACCCATCATTGACCCCAATACAAGGTCCCTTTGTGCTTAGCCTACATTCATTTTAAGCGCCGGACAGAGGCTGCAGTTGCTTAATTTGCTCATGAGGGGATGACCCCACGAAAAACCCCCAGGGTGAGTACCACTTTGACCTTCCTCCACACCCACAGACCCCGTTTACTGACCAAAATGCATACATATAACCACACAGAATGGGTACGGTTTAACCATGTAACCCTTGTTAATGCAATGATGGGTAATATTTCTGGATGTGTGCCGCAAACTACTTACATCTCAAGCATTATCTCATTCAGGTAAATCCCATCCACTAATTCAATATATTCCGATAATTTGGTGCCATCGGTCACCGTCGAGTGTCCGACCGTCTTCACCTGAAAAGGGGACAATAGATAATCGATAAAAGAACATCATGGGGTGATTAATTGGCGAGCTCAAGACACATCTGAATAGCTAATTAGGGAGCTTACCCAGCAGACCAGAGGTGTGAGCATGAACTGCTCCAGCAAAGGAGTGAACACCTCGTTTTCCATATTTTCCTGGCGCCGTTTATTTCAGCAGATATGGGTTTTTTCCCTTTTTAAATCGGAGAGAAACGCGTTTCTTTTGACACCGCTCATGTAGTTAATTCAATTAAATCGACGCTCATTGTGGATACAGGCCACGGAAAGACGTCCGAGGTTCCTTTGGATAAGGGGTAAAAAAATCGTTAATCCACAATTTTCTAGACACAAGCCAGCTGTTTCAGATGCCACCGACGGGGGTTCGGCTCCCTCACGGAGAAGGCAGGGATTCACATTTTCTGTTAAAGCGCTTTAAATAAAGATACTCTGTAATGTGTCGCCAGCCGGGCTCGCTGTCTATCTACAAATAAGATTAAGGAGACTCTGAGACCTGCGCCAGGTATGGTTTTATGCTGAGGAACTGGTAGATAGAGTCCAACGCTGAGGGGAGATATTCCTCCAACACCTCCTTTTAAATTAAATATCCAATACGAAGGGAAATCCAGATGTTCAAGGTCCGTGGTTTGAAACCATCGGGTTACTCCTCAAATTTATTCTAAGGTCATGTCTAGCCACTGATTCTGCTTCCCCTGTCTGCCTCTGTTCAAATGCTGCACACCACTGAGCGCAAGACTGGGGAGGAGGACAAGTAGGACCGCCCCCCTCCCTGCCTCTCGCGTGCATCTCCCTCCGCCTCATCGCCTCTTTAGCCCAAGAAAAGTAGGGCACTGATCAAAGCATCTCTTTCAGCTCAGACTACTTCATGCTCTTAGTCATGTTTCGTAGAAAGCACTTAGTCATCTAGCGCAGTTAAACTGTCTTAAGATCATTTTAAGTATCAAAGAAGCAAATGTTGTTGTTTTTTTGTTTTGTTTTTATTGAGAACCAGTTTGTCTGCAGCTTCAGCGTTATAATTTCTAACATGCTGTGGCACATTTGGTTCCAGTTTGTGCTTAGTTAATCCACTGGCATGTATAAATGCTGGGGATCCAGGTATACTCTTTGTCTGCTTTTGCACCATGCAGTACATTAGTGACATGTAGGCTACTGACACCTGGTGGGTAACGTAAAGACTGGAGGTGTAGTATCTGTCAATCAAAGAAACTGTTCCATCAAATTTGCAACATATGATTCGTTTAAATTTAAAATAAGCTTTCTGCAGTCTGTTGTTTGTTTGGTTTATTAAAGGAGACTTGTGCTCATTTCCAGCTTTGTGTTTGTTTATTTATTTATTTATTTAGCATTATTTAGGAAGTTCTTTTGAAATCAAATGTGTTTTGCAAGGGAGATTTGGCCAATGCAACTTTTAGACATATATCCCCAAAATACCACAAATACAACAAAAAAATACAAGGTCTACATACATACAATTAATATGCAATAAACAAATAACATAAAACATTAGTGGCCTCTAAAAAAAATAATGAAACGTCTCCTTTTCTGCAATCCATATGATGATTTAAATTCACCAATAGCTATAGCCATGTTTAAGTTTAAGGTCTTCCTGTAAATTCCATGTCTAACAAAACACTGTTGTCCCCACATCTGTCAGAACTCTAGTCACATCAAAAAAGGCCAATCATAGCTAGTAACTATTGATATGGCAACAAAGAGGCGTCCAATAGTGTTAAATAATATCGCTTCATAGAGAAAGATAAACCAATATTGGTTTTTGTAAGTTATCAGAGACTTTGGATTTTTAATAAAATGTAGAGATTCACGGTACAATCTATCAAGATCTTCTTGCTATTCTTGGACTCTAGTCTATTATTATTTCAAAACAATCCCGATTAATCTTATACTGGGCCTTGGTACAGTCCCTCATTTCATCCAGCATCTGTATTTTAGTTCTCATCTTTAACCCAACTTTCTTCTGATTGGCTATCCCTGATAAAAACACAGGCTCAATAGCAGGTGGATGGGTCTGTAATGACAATATTATCTAGACTCAGTGACATCATGCATACTCAAGAGTAGGAAAAAAAGTATGTGAAATGGAGCAAGTTAGAGCAGTCTGAAACTTGAGCTTTTGGCTCATTACTTCTACATATTCGTCTGATTCTGATATGCCTCTATCATTAGTTGAGCAGTCGCCATTGTAACATTACAAATTTAACAGAAATAGACAGGTCTACTTTAAAGACCATAAAACTAAAAATATCCATAATGATACAGAATGAGGTTATGTCATTTTTATTGATAGTTGTGTTTTTAAAATGACTTACTGATGATGATTTACTAAATGCCAGAACAGCTATAAATGGCTAATTTTGAAGCTCTAAGATAACTTGTGACTCACACTATTCAGTGAAAGGTCAAATGATTACTCAAGGTCAGATTTTGACAGAAAAAGAATCTGCTGCTTAGATAATTAATGAATCATTCAAATAATTTTTAAAACAAGTTGTCACCAACATTTCTCTGTTTTATAGCAGTGGAAACTGAATTTCTGAGTGGGCCGGACAGAACATGGACACTGATTGTATTAGGTTGGTTTGGGAAGACTGTGAGTAACTAATCAATAAATTCACTGTTGGCAACAAATAGTACAATGACTAATGTGTTTGACTAAACTTGACTTGGTTAGTTTGCTGAATGAAGCCAGCAGTTTTAAGCACACAATATTTTTTTTATTTTGCAAGGTGATGACTTAGAGATAAGTCCACTATAGAGGTTGAAGACACCTAATCAACAAATGATGAATGGCTTTGATGATGTGCAGAGGGAGCAAAGGCAATGTGGCCAAATAGCCAATCAAAACACAATCACTGGTTTGAGAACCAGAGACCTGAATCACCTCCAAGAAACAGGTTTAAGAATGAATGAATAGCTTACTGTACATATAGTCCCCTAAAACCTTCACTCAGCACATTTCACCAGCTGTTTTAAATAAGCAGAAGTTATAATTTGCATTTAGATTAACAGTCACTGTTGTTGGTGCTTTAGCTTGGGGCTATACAGTATGTGTTCGTGACAGGACCGGCTGTCTCTCGTTTCCTGCAAAACATGTTTAGCTGAAGCGATGTAAGTTGTTTAAAGCACAATATTCAGCTGGATAATCCAATGTAAACAAAACAAAAAAGGACTCTATTTATCTTTTACATGGAAGTCTGCATCTTTATGTGGGCATTAGCCATTTAAATGACTCTCTGCTGCTAACAGATGGGCTATGTCTAGCGTACAACAAAATGCTCATTAGATCTAAGCAGAAACTGGTAAAAGTCTGACATGTTTCAACATGTAATGTCTGATTGTGTCTTTGCTTATATTTGCACTGCAAAAGTTCCTTTTGGAGGCTTGAAATAAATCCCTCTGTATCCTAGATCACGCATACCGAAGCACTAATTCGGTAACACACCTGTTTTATATTCAAATGTATTTAAAGTCTCTGAAAATGTCGTTTCATTTCTTGAGCTGTATCAGTAAAACACGAGAGGAAGGAAGAACATACTATTCTTTCTTCGGTGATGATTCAGATATGATCATTTTGTGCTCTGATCTTTAACCTTACAATCGAATTTCTTTAATGAAGACTAAGTGGATATGGTTATATATATGATATATTTTGCAATAAATATTCAATGTTATTAACTAAATTATTTAGGTCTTATTTTTAAGGCCAGAAGTAATTGTTAGGTAAGTGACATGAACTAGTTAAATAAAAGATAAGTTAACGTTCAGTGATATGTCCATGCAGGGAAATGCTCATTTGTTTTGTTTAGGCAAATATGTTTTAAGAAGCATCCTGAAAGCCAGGATTCTTGTTTTGTACTTTGTATTAAATCAGTCTCTGATCTTACTAGAAACCAAATGTGCTGCCCACTTCATTAATCAATTTACCATCTGACTATCTCTCATTCATTCTGGGCTGTTATAATTCAAAGTGACTTTTGTGGAGGACTCCCAAGAATTGCTGATGAACTTCTCGGTCATGTTTGGCGTGATCTGTGTACTACATCTGCTGCTACAATTATCCCAAAAGACTCTGACCAACACTGTATTCATTTAAAGTACAGTAGTCTGGAAGCTGGCAAACTTTCCCAAATTAGAGACTCAAGAGTCAATCAATGAATCAAAGTCAGAACACAGTATTGTGTTTTGTTTTTTGTTGTTGTTTTAGTTTTATATTATTTGTAATTTTTGTAGCAATAACTACACTACAAAAAATGTATGATAGTCATTGTTTTGAATATCCAAGCATATATTCAAAAATAATAAAGTTCTTTTTTAACGGTTTTCAGTGTTATCAATCAAATCAGCTTTTCAGATGTTGAAATGTACATGTAGACGACACAAGATTTACCCTCACACCTTTGCAGTGCTGTAAAGAAGGTGCAAGAAGTAGCTTCAGTGCTGGAAAATAACTGTTTTGGCTACATGAATATGTTGGAGGCTTAAGGGTCAAAGTGGAGTAATAAGAACAAGAAATATATATTTGTAGCAAAGTCTACCTAACGATGCAGTCCTTTTTTGTAGTGTGCTGTTATTTTGGACATCAAGATGTGAAACGTGCACAGATCTGTTCAAGTGAATCACTGATCACACACAAAATGTTTTTCTGTTTTTTAGGTGACACCATTATGGCAGGTAGAAGCGTTTCAGGTTTTTTGTGTTTTTTTCTTATTAAAAAAATGAAAAAATATAACTTTGGGTCAACTTTCATTATCCCCTCCTGCATTTCTACTCATTCCCTCAAACCAAAATATTCTAACAATATATTCCCTGTTTCTCATTGCTGTTCCTTGTCCCTGTTGTATTTCTTTGGAGTGCTTCATCAAACATCACTCGCAGGCCTTCTCTATTAGTCTCTATATAGAGTATTAATGGTTTTTATATTTGACAATATTTCACAGCAACATTTAATTGATTTTCAATGATCTAATTTAATGTAAAATTGTAGAAAAAAGTGTATAAAATATGTTATTCCTGAAGATGTTGTTCTCATTGATCATGTTTTTCGTCATTTCTAACAGACTGATAAATGAAGCGTACTAATAATAAGAAAATTGGTTTAATTGACATTGTTTTCTTAATTGAATCAAATGAGAACGGGGATTTGCTTCAGTGTCTGTGCAAATGTTTTTTTCTTCTTTTCAAATCAAGCCCAGCTCTTTTCCTTGGCAGCCCACACACATCTCTGCTAACCCTATCACCTCAGCCGACAATTAAGCCTGACGCAGATAATGAAAACCTTTCACGGTTCGTGTACCGCCTGCTTACTCACACAGCAGCCTGAATACTTTTTTTTTTCAAAACTCATTTACTGTGGGGGATTAGACCTGTGGAGGTTTGGATATTTTGTAAAGCTCAATGTGTTTGTGATTGTGTATTTGCATTTATTTCCATTAGCGTGGCTTCGTTAACCTCAGACTGAACAGTGTGCTCCTGGCTGTTTTACTAAAATCTATTATTCATGAGGCTTTTAAGAAGTTTTGTCACAAAGCGGCATCCACCTCCACCTAATGACTCAGTGATTTAACAGCACTTCTCTCACACACTCAGCTATGAAAGTGGGGAAAAAGACCCAGTGGAAACCTACCAAAGAGAGCCACATGGAAACTTCTCCTCTAGCTGACGTAAAAGACGCACTGGCAGCTCCTCTCCAAGAAAGTTCTCTTTGACGACTGTAGTTTCCTGTTA